CAAAAATCTCTGAGCTGAGATGCTTGACAGCTGTCATTCTAGATAAACTAAGTGACACAGTCGCTTCAGAGATTTACTGAACTCCCACAAAGGCAAGATGGTTAATTCTTTCTCAAAAACCTGAAATGTTCCCGCAATGTTTCCCCATACAGCTGTCACGCTGTCAAAAGTCAAGCTGGTGCTATCAGTGCTTGTTTTAACTTTGTTACACAGACCTTGTCAGGGCTTAACGAGGCTACACAGAAAGTTTGTTTACATGCCATGATTAAAAAACAAAGGTGTTTTTGCTTCGTAGTTAGATGTTTGAATTGTTCGTATTAAGTGAGAAACTATAAGTGAGTTTTAGTCTATGTAAGTCCCATTGGTCTAACAGTGCAATAACAGCTGGTGACTCACCCCCTCATGCAATAAGGAGGAGCTACAAACTGGGGGCAGAGCAGCAGTACAAAAGAGATGCCTACTGTACCTGCACACTTACATTACTTCCAGATTTGATTGGAACTGGTACTGACTTTCGCCTGAACGGACATAAAGTAGCAGTGACTCAAGGACTGAAAGAAGAAACCTAAAGTTTTAATAAGGACCAAAACTAAAGACACACAGGAAACCAGTTTGACAGGATTTTTTCTGTTTTGATTGCAGGATGGAACTCGATCTTTGAAGTGATTTCCTCTTCAATTTAGAGACAATGCTTTGCTCTATGCTTCCAGGGTAGAATCAGTTTCTGTTTTCAAGCTTGGAATTAATATTTGCTGACCCCCAGGCAATTTGTTTTTTGACTGCTAAAATGGAAAACACCAATGGAACTGAACAACCTCTTGAAGACGATGAAGCTGCCGAGATGCAAGTGTACAAGCTCTATGCAGCCGCAATAATTGTGATTTTTATCTTGGCTTTGCCTCTGAATGCATCTGTCATCTACCTCTTTATTTTCAAGCTCAGGTTTTGGAAATCCAGCACAAATAATATCTTCCTCTTCAACCTGGTTTTGGCTGACATCCTCCTACTGATCTGCTTGCCCATAAAGGCCTATACCTTCATCCAAGGAGTTAGAAATAGTAACAATGACGCTGTCTGCAAAGCCATGCTTTTCATGTTGTTTTTAAACCGTGGAGCTAGCATCGCCTTCCTAACAGCGACTTCCATCCATCGGTATTTTCATGTGGTGCACCCTGGTCGAAAAAGTCTCCTAAAAGCGCTTAAGAAGTCTCCACAGATCTCTGTCCTCATCTGGGTGCTGCTTCTGCCTCTCACCATCCCCACCATGCTCAAAAACTTTGACTGCTCTTACAGCCTCATTAAAGAAAATGCTACCGTGATCAAGGTAATGCTTACTTGTTTCATGCCTTATTCTCTCTTATTGTAGACAACACGTGCATAAACTAAGGTCATTGTGTCTTAATACTTATAACAGTTTAATAAGAGTTTAATTTTGTTTTAAATCTAGGAATCCTCCACAGCAGTCATGCAAAGTGATTTTTAAACAGAGGTTAGACTGCTGACATTCCCTTTTATTTTTATCCCCCTATCTAAGGATGTGGTGGATGGCATCAGAGAGACTGTAATCTTTACTCAGATCCTGGTCCCGTTTGTCATCCTGCTCTACTGCACTGTGCGCATCGTCAACCGACTCAGGAAAAAAACAGTCGGGGATAGGACCAAGCTGAAGAGAGCAGTATTTCTGGTCACTGCTGTCATGGTGCTCTTTTCATTCTGTTTCCTCCCCTGCACCATAGTCAGGATGGTTCTGCTTATCATTCGGGTCAAAGATATGCCTGATTACATCGAGCACAAAGCTGTAGTGGCCTTTGATGGCCTCATGGTCCTCTCCTACATAGACTGTCTGCTTGACCCACTTGTCTACTGCTTCTCTAGCACCAAGTTCAAAGCACTTTATCTATCCAATTACTTCCCATTTTTAGTAAAAGAAACTCCACAGGTCAGCTCAACAGGAAAGACATACAGAACTACAAACACTACTGTCATTTCAGGTTTATGAAAACAAAGAAGGGATAGTTCCCATACAGAGTGTGGTTTCTCTCCATAGTAGCCGCAGGTTGAAAAAAAATGGTTCAATGGTTAAAATGTGTTATGAGGACAAGGCATATAAATATTTCAATTCCTACTTTCTTAAGATTTTCAAATATACAGAAGTAAAAAAATGAAAAAATATATTAGTTTATCAGCCCTATGGATATAGCACAGGGGTCAAATTTTTAAATTTCTGTAGGAGAATGCCTCCCAGCCAAAGTATGCACATCTGTTCTTCCTGTTTGGCTTGGACAGTGAAGGAATTCCTTTCAAAAATACATTCTGTCAAATTATACCAACACAGCTTTTATCTAAGCCACAACAGTGAAACAAGTTTTTGTTTTTCACACCATCTGTTAGATAACATTTAGAGGATCCTCAGTCTGCAGGTGATTAATACGTCATTTTAAAAGTACATACAGGGAAATTATCATGACAGGGGATTTAAAATGCTAATTTCCAGCTCCTAACAGTTCAATATAATAATTATTTTTTATATTTATATTTATTTTTTCTTAAACTGGGCCATGTAGCAGACATTCAGTTTATCCACAGTCAGAAGTAAGTCTCGCTCTCAGTCATGTGTCTTCTGATTGGCTTCACATCATCAAATGGTGGAATGAGAAGGATCTACACAATTTTAGGCAGGTGGCTTTAACATTGTGGCTGGTCGGTACTGAACTGTTTGTGATGTATGTATAGAGATATGTATATATATTCATCCTGAGATTATTTCTAATAAATGGATTATGGTATGTTGGGAACACTTTGATGATACCACCTTGAAAGCTCTGCTCACAAAGTGCCACGCCCACAAATGACTCTTACAACGTAATACACTCAACCTGAACTTATCTTCACCCTGAGCTAGTCCCAGAAATCCCAGCATTTCTATATAAGTCACATGGGTGAAATTACTCACCTTAATGACACCATCAGTAGATGTAGCGCACCGAGTGAGCGTATGTCTGGTGTAACTGTCTGTCAGTAAATAGACACCTCCCTGATTTAAGTAGTCAATAAGTTGGAATCTGGTGAGTCTATGCTCTCTGCTTTCATCTACAATTTAAATCATCTGTGGGTTAACAATGAGTCACTGCAAGGTACAAACACTTATGCACTTATTTGGCATAGCAGTATTTGTCATAGTTCTTCATTGTAAGAAAATAATGAATAACTACAAGTGTAATAACAGAGTTAAATAACTCTTTTGAGTTATGGGTAAAAAACAAACTGAGGAGATACATAAGCTAAGGCAAAAATGTAAGCTGAATATTTACATCTACAAATATGACATCTGCTTTGCCTGACAACGAGTAACTCACGCAGTGTAAACAGGAAATAAATACCAAGTAAAGAGAGAATTGTATAGCTTGAGGTCAAAAATGGTATGACTTTAAATAATAAGGAGACAGAGTTAGAAGCAATAAAATATTAACACTTTGCAGTGATTACTTTGTTTACTTGTCTGAAAGTTGTGTAAATGTGACATTTTGAAAATATTATTTGTTTATCTGTGACCCTAATGAATTCAGCTGCAAAGTCAATATGCTTCATTCTTGTGTTACCGTATCATCCAATCTGCATTTTACATTTAAAAAGTACATTTAGGAATCCACACTAAAAAAATGGCCTTTTGAGGGATGACTACACACTCTTAACATAAAGAAAAGTGAGTAAAAGAGTAGGAGGGAGTCCTTACCTTCCTTGAAAGGAATCTTTGCAGAGTCCTTATTATTTATTTCTGTCCTTTTGAAACAGATGGTTAAAAAACATTATTACCACCCTGCTAGCTTTCCTTTGGGGCTGCCAATATTTGGGTTTTTTGGTATGCAGAAAAAAAACAACAACATAATTCTCCCCATCAGCACAAATATGAATACAACCGTGCCTTTTTTGTGGATAAGAATTACATTATATTATTCAGATTTAAATCACTTCACAAAAAGTGACACTTATTGTTTTCTTAGAAATTCTGAATGTTTTCTTACCCTAAATATATTGTAGCAGTAAATTAAGTTGTGAAAAAGACTAACACAAGTTGGCATTTTATA